TTTTTTTTAGTAATTGTATTGTAAGCACATGGCGCTTGAATAGCTTCAGCCAATGAATGACAGCTGCCAGTGGCAAGATTCTGCAGACGGCAGCTGAATGTAAATACAGCAGTTAGTGGGCCAGTGCAATAGCCAGGTGATATTGGCAATTTCAAACTGGAATCAGGGCCGGATTTACTCTACCTGCCGCCCCAAGGCCAGGTCCTGTGATGCGCCCCCTCCCTTCCCATCAATGGAGAATGGCAACCAGATGGCAGGGCGGTGGGGTTAGTGTCAATTATTTTTACTGTTTCTTAATTTTTGTAAACTTTTTTTTTATCACTTTTTTTATTTCTTCTTATTTTTTTAATAGGACTGAATGTAGAGAGGGCAACTTCCCCACAGGGACACCGCTGCCGCCTCTCTGCGCCCTGCCGCCCCGAGGCCGGGCCGCGGTGGCCTTGTGGGGAATCCGGGCCTGACTGCAATAGCAGGCTGGCTATTGCACCCGCCCACTGCTTGCTGTACCCTCCTCCCAGCATGGAGGAGAGAGCTAGGGGATCCAACCAACTAATCGATTAATTGGTTGCAGCCCTAGTTGACTTGCCCCTTCCTGCTTCTAACTGTTGCCAACCATCACTTTTCTTTCTCACAGTAATTTATTGCATATTGGATTACACAGGCTTTCATCGATCTTGTGGCATTTGTTAAGGCTTTGGCAGGTGTTTTCAGGCTTCGGAGGATTTTTTTTTTTTTTTTACTTTTGATCTGTGTATGATGCATGTGGCCCCTGCAATTCTTCTGGATGATTTAAACCACAACACCCCCTTGATTTCCTGTATTATTAGTTAGATTTTAACTCCATACAATGCCTTTGACATAGGTGCAGTGTTTCCAGCAGTATACAGCTAGATCACAAACTGTTTTTATAAAAAAATAGGAAAATGTGATTTTTGTTTTATAGATATTGTATATCGGCATATTGCCACCCCAGAATGGAGTGCATTATCATTGTGTGTTTTATTTACCCCCAGGGAAGTTGAAAATCTTCTCAACTGTGGTGCTGATCCAAACCTAATCTTGCCTGATGGGATTGCAGCCATTCATCTAGCTTCAGGGAAGGAAAGTGAAAGTGCTCTTAGATGTCTGAGAATGATTTTGCAACAAGATGGAGATCCCAATGTCCGGTATGAAAAACATTTAACTATGATGCTACTTGGCACAGTGTGTCAGGCACCGTTTAGTAGGCACCTTTTTATTTTCTACAGTAGTCTCTTGGTATTTCACACCATGCCAACTAATTCTAAATTATGTGATTTCTTCACTTCTAGCCGGAGATTCTTAAAGTATATTGAAACTTAACCATTTTCATATGTAGCATGTTACTTTAAATTCAGGTGCAAATGCACGCCTGTTTTCTTTCAATGTTCTTTAACGATAAAGTTCAATGTTCTTAACAATAAAGTTATGACATGGGGGGCTAAGAGACGCCCTTATGTGATAGCAAACATATGTGACAGGTCGTCTTTATGGAGACATCATAATCTAATGTCACCTAGGGACCCCCAAAGAAGCTGCTTCATCAGCTTCTCTCCAGCTTCTGAAGCTGGAGAGTGACACAAGAATGCGGAAGTGATGTAATATACATCACTTCCGCATTCTGACACCGGAGAGGGGACAGGAGGGAGATCGTGTACTGATCTCCCTCTGATCCCCTGTCAGAGAGGGCACAGTGGAGCCCGGGACCGGCGCCCAATACAAGCTCCGATCGGCACCCCATACAAGCGATCTGCCAGCTCTGTAGCCGGCGGATTGCTTGTTTGTAAACCGGCATCGCTGCCTGGTTTTACATTTTGATTGTTTCCCGCTCGCCGGTAGGCACACACGAGTGGTCGAGGCTAACAGCCCGAATATACACAGCCTGTTACATCCAACGGCCAGCCGGGAGCTGGTTAACAGTGTACAACGTGCCTTCATTGCTCCTGCTGGGGTGTATCAGCAGTTCCAGTGCCGCCTTGCCACGCAGGCAGTAATACAAATACACTTCATAACTGTGGACAATATGCATGTGTGGGGAATCTTTGCTATATATAGAGTTTGAACCGCACATACAGTTTAAATGGCCAATGCTGAAAAAAATATGTATGCTGCTTGTAGATGTGGCAGTTGCCCATTCTAGCCAGCAACATGTTTGAGGGGTTAAGATGAGGAGATTCCATCTCGTGATGCTGTCCTGGAAGACTAATGGAAATAGAGTTACCGGTAAGTCCTAACTCTGAATTTCTTGCTGTCCCAGATCACTTGAACCGGTTGGAGCCTTTTCTAATCCTACTACCTCACTCTGAGAAATAGCCTTGGCAATACCTGCCTGCATCAATTACCTGATTTTTTTTTTTTTTAGTTCTCCACACAGCCATCAGCAAGAATGCTTGGCAAAGTATTAATATTCCCCTGAATGTGGGGTAATGCAGTTTTCAGAGGGCAGTTGATTGTGTCTGCTTCATCAGCTTAATCAGCTTCTTTGGGTGTCCTAAGGTGACATTTGGGGTAAAGAGGACCTGTCATTGTATATTTGCTATCCCATAGGGGGCTTTTAGCCCCTTATGTTATGGCAATCAAGTTAAGTTTAAAAAAAATAAAAATAATTAAAGCCTCATATTAAAAAAAAAAAAAACACCAAAAAAGTTTTAAGGCCTGCACCACCACGTGCACACACTTATAAACGTAAATATGCATAGGGTGCGCTTGCATGCAAAAACGATTACACCCCACGTTACATATCGCCGCAAACGCAGGAGTGTGAGCAATATATCTAGGGCCATCAATCACTGATGACACTCAACTGATGAGCGGTAAAGCGTCGCCTATGGGCAATTTTAGGCATGGTAGTTTTTTGCGATTTCGCGGACGCAGGCAATTTTAAAGCTTGACATGTTTGGTGTCTATTTACCCGACGTGACCCTGTATTTTATATTTTACCAAAAAATTGGGTAGTAATAAATGTTTTATAACATAATTTTTGAAAAACAAGCGCACAGGGTCCTTTCATTAATGTTAAATTGATGACTATTTAACCGACGTGACCTCATCTTTTATATTTTACCAATAATGTTCGTAATAATAAATGTTTCATAACATAACGTAGGGGGAAAAAAAATTTCAAAGTTTTCTGTAGTTGTTTCATTATATAGTAAAAAATAAATACCCCAGTGGTGATTAAATACCACCAAAAGAAAGCTCTATCTGTCCCCAAAAAATGGTATAAAATTCAGTACAGCATTGTATGACAATGGCCTGGACAGGAAGGGGGTTGAACACCCCGGTCAGCAAGTGGATAAAAAATTTTTTTTTTTTTTTTTTTAAAGCATATTTTACACTTTTATAGTATTTATTTAATGATATCAAGCAGTCATTCTGTAAGAATCTCACTATGGCTTCTTAATAATTTAATTTATTTTTTGGTTATTGGGTTGCTCCGAACTTAGGAACAGCCAATAATAACCTTGGTGGCACTGAACCTTACATGCTGATCCTGCAGAATTTCAGAATCGGATGTCACTCAGGGCTAGTTCACACCATCCTCAGTGCGTTCCGGCCCGATTGTGGCCGTAACGCACTTGATCGCATTCTGGCCGGCTCACTTTGTTTTGGGGCGTGGCGGTCCATTGAACTCAATGGCACCTCAGCCGTGCCCTCCGGCCACAATGCGATTGGCTGCACAGAAACGCGTGGCACATCAGTGCCTGCTTTCCAGTCTGTTGCAGTTAGTAAAAGTAGTGCGCGCACTATTTTTTCTGACTGCACCGGACCAGAATGCAAGCACTAATGTGCCACGTGTTCCAGTGCGGCCAATCGCATTGCGGCTGGAGGGCGTGACTGTGGTGTCATAGAGTGCAATGCGTTCCAGCCTGATTATGAGGTTGGTGTGAACTAGACCTAAGGGCTTCTGATTGCTCTTAGAATGATCAGAAGTCTACACCGTTTGTTTCAGCAAAAGAAACCATGTAGGTAAATGTTTCTGTCGATGAAACTTTAGAAAAAAAACCTGTATACATCGGCATTTCCTAATCCCGAATTATAAAATATTGGAACAGCTTGGGGCTTTCGAGGTGCCAAAACTAATATATATGTGAAAATGTGTGTGCATCTTATGGAGCGAATCCCTAGTTTCCCCTTCGTCTTCCAGAACAGCTTACGAGAGATAGGCTCCACCCATTTGAGCAGGAAACACGTCACCCCTAGTTGTTTTAAAAGGCCCGCCTCTCTCCTAGCTCCTCAGTTTTTTTGTGTTTCCTCCGTCAGGGGGAGACATGTCACCGGAACGGTGGGGGGATGTGGGAAAGGTTCCCTGTGTTCCCTCTCAGTGATACCCTTGTAAGGGTCAGAAGTACCTTTAGTGGGCCGCCGGTGAGCTCCTCTGTGGGGATTCCCCACCGGATCCTTCGTCCTCTTCAGTGCCCGGGGAGTGCCAGCACCGGATCCTGCGTTGGCTGAATCCTGGGACCGAGTGGCTCAGCAGTCAGGGGCCGCAGGTCCGGGGATTCCGGGAGGTTCTCCACGGCCGGATCGGATGGCCGACTAGGTCACTTCCGGTGCGGGTGACGCACTTCCAGACACCGCGGCCTTGCGTTCCAGGCCTCATTTCCGGCGCAGAGGAAGGGGGATGGGCCTGGCTGGTGCACGAGGCGTGTTCACAGGCTTTTCTGTGAGAGATCGCCGGTGGGAGTACTCGTCTTCTCCAGGATGGATCTGGTTCCTCTTCTGCAAACTGCACAGATGGATGCAGGTCCTTCAGGCACCTGCATCTGCTCAGGTAAGTGGTTACTTCCATGTATTCCCTCCCTGTAGTTCTGACTGTAGCTATTTTCCTCCACCTGGGGCTCCTTAGTGTTGGGCTTAGGGTGTTGAGGGGGCACTATGACTTTTTTACATGCGGTTAGCAGTGAGTTAATTCTGCTTCTTTTGCTGTTCTGTGTTGCAGGTCCAGGTTTCTAAGGGCAAGGCTGTCCCAAAAAGGAAATGCGCTCTTTGCTCCATGAAGTTGGGAACTGATTGGAACAAACCGCTCTGTCAAAAATGCATTGAAGGGGTGTGCAGAGAAAAATCTGCCTCAACATGCGGTGGCTTGTTGTCCACTGTTAGGGAAGAACTAGTCTCTACCTTTTCCTCTTTTAGATCCCTGATAGCAGATTTGAGACCAGCTGCAACACAGGGTTTGGTGCCCGGGCTTCCGTCACAGGGTCTGGGTCAGGAGAGGTCTGTCAGAGGGAGCCAGAGGAGTATAGCGTCGCTGCATCCTCTCATCAGGGATCGTGAATCTGGGTTCCCTTTCGGCAGTGCACCTAAAGGGAACGCAGAATACTCTGGCTGACTATCTGAGTCGGTTTCAAGTTCTCCAGGACGAATGGGGCTTGGATCAGGAGGTCTTTGACCTCTTGGCTCAGAAGTGGGGTTTACCACAGGTTGATCTGTTTGCTGCACGGGACAATGCAAAATTAGGCCACTTTTTTTCCCTGAATGCAGCGGACAACGCAGTGGCAGTGGACGCCCTTTCGCATCCATGGGGTTATCGTCTGTGCTATGCATTCCCACCCACCCATTCATTTAATTCCGAGGGTTCTACAGAAATTCTTTCTAGAACAGACAGACTTGATACTCATAGCACCTTTTTGGCCCAGGAGAGCGTGGTTTACGACGGTGTTGTCCTTGATGGACCAACCGCCTTGGCCACTTCCGATCAGCCAGGGCTTGTTGTCACAGGGGCCGGTCATGCATCCAGCAGTGGACAGGCTGTCCCTCCCATGCCTTCTATCTGAGGAGGTGATTCTAAAAAACAAGGGTCTGTCTTCCAGGGTGATTGGCACCTTATTATCCAGCCGTAAGTTAGTTACGAGGAAAATTTATGGTAAGGTGTGGAAAACTTTCTGCTCCTGGAAGTGGAGACATAACAGGGATGCAAATATTCCATCTGTGCTGGATTTCCTTCAAGAAGGGGCTGACGGGGCTTGGCTATCAGCACCTTGAAAGTCCAAGTCTCTGCCCTGAGCGTGTATTTTCAGTACTCCCTTGCTAATGATCCACTGGTGAGTAGGTTCTTTAAAGCTCTCAAACGAATTAGGCCAATTACAAGTTGTTCCATTCCCAAGTGGGATTTGTCACTGGTCCTACAGGGTCTGATGATTCCCCCTTTTGAACCTCTGTCTGCTCTTGCGATAAAGTTGAAAGCGGTGTTCATGGTTGTTCACATTCTACCCGGGGATTGGCCACCTCGTGGGCAGAGAGAGCTGGTGCCACTCCGGAGCCGCAACCTAGTCGAGTTTTTCCACCTTTGTCCGACATTACCGACTGGATTTGAATGTGGCAGCAGAGCAGGAGTTTGGGAGAAAGGTGCTCCAAGCCGCAGTCCCGCCCTAAGTGAGTAAGTTCCTGTTTATCCTCTCGTAAGCTGTTCTGGAAGACGAAGGGGAAATTCAGAGTTAGACTTACCGGTAACTCTCTTTCCTATAGTCCAGAACAGCTGGATTCCCGCCCTTGATTATGTAAGTGGTGGTGAAATGTGATTTCAATGTGATATCCTGTTGTGCTTTTGGTTCCTGTCGTTACAGGGTCTTCCTACGGTTCTCGATATAACTGAGGAGCTAGGAGAGAGGCGGGCCTTTTAAAACAACTAGGGGTGACGTGTTTCCTGCTAAAAGGGGCGGAGCCTATCTCTCGTAAGCTGTTCTGGAAGACTATAGGAAAGAGAGTTAGCGGTAAGTCTAACTCTGAATTTTTTGTACATTTAGCCCTGCTAAAGCAGAGCTAAATGTACAATGGATGCCGCTGCTCGTTTAATACGAGTGATCTATTCAGATCACCATAGAGCCCCTAGAGCAGACGAAGAACATCCGTTCTTCGTCTGCTCTGTGTGATCACTGAGACCGTGGCGCTGTAATCACAGCGCCACCTGTCTCAGCAGTCACTGCAGCTTCTGTCACAGAAACTGCAACGAGCAGCCATTTTTCTGCGAACGCATAATTGCCATGAAGTACTGTTCATTACGGAATCTGCAGCTTGAAGCTAAGTACTATTTTAGTATTTTGTCTTAGAAACCATTACATGTACTAGAAGGATAGTGTAGTGGGTGCATGTGATTGTTTGTTTGTAGCAGCCTGTATGTATGTCTTGTTTATGTTTGTTTTTCCTGTAACTAAGTTTGTATATGCAGCATTTTCGTCAACTAAAGTACTTTAAATGCTACTAGGTCAGTTTCCTTGAGCTTATTATTCATTTACATATAGATACTAAGTGGGTTCTTGATCTCCCTGGAAGGCCCCCATCTGGAACGCTGTATGCAACATTTACAGTTCTCCTGTCTGGCCTTTTGCTTTTACTACCCCTCCTCTCCTATTCCTCCGCTCCCGTTATTTGCGGGTGTCGGATGATTATATAGCTATGAGCTGTTGGGTATGTGAAATAAGTTAGTTGAATTATCTGTGTAAAATGGCTAACTTACATACATGCTGTTGAATTGTACACTGTGTAACTGTCCATATTATGAATTTTCAGGACTCTTGAAGCAATACCGCGAAACGCATAGTCTGTACTAATAAGTATATCAGCTGTCATATTTATGCAATCAATTGCGTGTGTAATTACTGTATTGTACTAGTTGTAACAAAATGGACACATGACATTTTCTGTTTTTATAAATATATTTTAATATGTACTGTGGCAGTATTTTGAATGCATGGTATTGCAGTGCGTGGCAATGCCACTCTGCAGAGTGGCAAAATGGTCACTCAGGACTTTAAGCCAGAGGGGCTGAGCAGTTCCAGGACGGGAGTACTTTTACCTGGAAAGAGCTGGCTTTACAATTCTTTCTGGGTTTTCTAAATTATAACTGGGATCCTGGAACTGGGAGATTTCTAAGAGAACTGGGAGGGATGAAATCTCCATTCCGTGGTACGGGCTTTAATGGTGACCACCACCGAATGATGGTGCACTTGTGCACAGACCTTATGAAAAGGATGCTGGTTCAGGTACAGGCTTCCAGCTGGAAGACAAGGGAGGTGTTGTTGTTGCAGCCCTACTGTCCAGGAGTCAGGAGGACTCCATCCTGGAACCAGCCTGTGTGGCAAGTCTGTTGGATGCAGCCTGTTTGGGAGATGGTTAAAGTAATAACCTGATGTCGGTGAGACTTTGAAAAACGTTATTTTGCTTAAAGACAAAGCTAAAGTTACGTTCTTATGTTGGAGAAACCCCTGTTTTTAAAAACTTGTGTGAACTTTTACATAAAAGTGGGCAGGAAGCCCTAAAAAGAATGTTTGCGAGTGTTTGCGTCCTTAATGCACTACCATTTGCAGCTAAATCTCACAACACTGACTGACTTTTTATATATAAACTGTTTAGTTTTTAGCACCTCGAAAGCCCCAAGCTGTTCCAATTTTGTTATTCAATCAATCAGGGGTGTGGTGCCATGCCTTAGCCTTTCAATGCCCCCTGCTTCTTTAAAAACTGCTATTGTTACTAATTTCCTAATCCCGGTCTATACAAGCTGTCAAAGAGTGACAGCAAGAGCAGTAAATGCTGCTCTCCTCTCGCTGTCAGACACCCTGAGGCATCCATTAATGAATGGTAACCACTGACTCTCAGCAGTTGCCAGCATTACAGAGCCCCAAATTGCTGATCACATACAGTGTATGTGATCAGTTATTTGGGCACTTAGTGGTGGGGACGTACAGTGTACATCTCCCGCCACTAAGGCTTAAAGTGTTGTTCTCCAAAGAGTGCAAGCCGGAGACCCTCTGCATCAAGTTAGCCGATGGCTCGCTCTCATTGTTGTGGCATTGACTTTTTTTAGCAGATCTAGTGGAGAGATTTTTTACCGTTCTGTTGGAGCACTATCAGGTGTGCAGTATGGGAAGTTGAGGTATCTTTTAATTCTGAAATGCAGGGTTCGGGCTCAGATAAACACCGTCAATCTAGATCATTGCGGATCAGGGTACACTCGGTGACCAGGTGATCAATCTTTGGCATTAGTGTCGCCCTGCAACCCACTATGGCCCTGAGGATATGATTGATATTGGCCGTTGTCCCATGATCGGAGAGAGAGAGAGAGAGAGAGATCGCCACCCTCATGGTCTGTCTGCAATGTTGCTTCCAATGTTGGTGCAGAGGCAGAACACTTGGTCTGCCTTTGCAAAGGTTGCAAGGCCTTTGTAGGCTTTTTTTGCATTGTTTCTTCTATGGAGAGGCATGGCAGTGGGTGCGATAGGCAGAATATGAAAAATGATGTATGGATGATCTAAGCGGCTATATTTCACATGATACCAAGAGCTCCTGGAGACATTTCCACTCCGGCTTACATCCTAGCCATATCCCCCTCCATCTATGTATTCTTAAATTAGCTTTTATATTCTATGCCCATGTTCCTTTTTATTTGTCCAACTGAGTTATGAAGATGTAAGAAAACACAAATAAGTTTAAAGTGCTTTATTTTTCTACCATGGTGATCTACAGATTTTCTCAGACTATTCTTCTGTTTCAGATCAATAGAGGAACTTACTCCAGTACATGTAGCTGCATCCTGGGGCTGTTGTAAGGCACTGATATTCTTGCTTCGGAAAGGTGGTGACCCCAGTATTCAAGATCAGGTGTGACACTACATCTCAAAAAGAATTCCCATTAATTTTTAAGGTCCTTTCTTTGTATTGACAACTCTTCTGTTTCTTGTCATAGGATGGGAATACGGCACTTGATTTAGCATTAATGGAAAAGAACAGGAGATGTGTTGTTGCTCTTCAGGAATATGAGAGAAATGAAGATATCGGTCTTGACCAAATGCGTGGTAAATTGTTGAATTGTGTTAACTGACTTTTTTTTTTTTCTTGTTACTTGGTCCAGTGCAAAGCTCAAGCTGCTTCTAGGTATTTGATAAAGATTATGTATATTTTTCTTTTTTGAGGAATAAAGGAGCATATTTTAAAGCTAAAATAATGGCAACTTTCTGTCTGGATTCTATATCAAGACGATATCCTAATCTAAAGGAATCTTATAGTAAAACATAGCTGGTAAAGGTATGTCAGCATAACAGTGCACACATAAAACCATAGTGTCATACCATCAACCATATCATAACAAGGGCAAAACAACTGGAAAAGATGTGTATAGAAAAGTTTTTTTGTACAGAGGTCTAAATTTATTGCTGTAACACTATCATTTTGTTTTTACTGCAGCTATTATTTAATGGTGTTTTTTTTACTGAATACCATTTTTCACCAGGAGAGGGACCTCATCTCATACACATCTGTAGCAATAGAGGATGTCTAATAGTAATCCAATTCTTTCTAAAGGAGGCTGGCTCAGAAATGGTTAGAGTTCTCAGGAAATGCTGTTGACATTTAAGATATCATGCAATTTCCATTTTAACCACAAAGAAAGGCATTGTCTTATATTGTGCTACAGAGCACTCTGTTGCATTGATTGAAAGCCTGGAAGCTGATCAATTCAGCAACCAGGCCTTTTGCAGGACCTTGGCAGTTACTGAAAACTGGCTGTTCCAGCACAGACACCCAGCTTGACCTGCTATAGCCACTGAGGCCAGACCATTTTGAAACTATGTTGGGATAATCAAATGTAGGACTGCTCAGTTTTAAAATGCACCTTGAGAGTGGTAAAGGCAAGCTGCCACTATTATGTATCTAATATTGTGTATAAAAAACAGAGAAAGGTATTTTACATGCTTACTTGCAGTGATTTTTTTTTTTTCCTTTGCATAAATGATTTATTTTATACACTTGCAACAGGTCGTTGTACTTGCTAGAAAATGTGAGTACTCCAGGAAGAGTCAGTATCCCAGTACAGCCCCCTACCTTTTTGACTGTCAAAGCCCTTTCCTCTTCTGGCAGTGTTTAATAACGCACTGTGCTGGCCCAGCTCTTCTGCCCCTCTCATCACCTCCTTTAAACTGTTCTGTAGCCAGTGAAGGAGGAGTGAATGGGACTACTATAGAATGCAACTTGAGTGACGGCTGAATCTGCTGGGGCAGCTGATAACACATCCAAGATGGAGCCGAGAGGCTTTTAAGGGGAAGTAACATGTACAAAATAAGTTTAATGCACATATGACTATACTGTATGGAAAGATAAGATTTTTGTTGAGATTGCCTGGCAACAGGATCTCTCTAAATAAATTAGAACAAGGATGATCTTAGTTACCAGTTACTGTTGATTCACACAGCACTAGACTAAATCTACAAAATATTCTTGACCTTCTAAGCAATGAATATGCAGATCAGAAGTCCGATCTTCCCTCTGGCTTTAATTTGCTTGCTTGTTCTCGGTTAGTGACCCAATGCATTGAAACAAGAAACAGCCTAACTATTACTTTTTGAAGGTTGCCAGCAATAGCAGCCCATATATATATATATAATTTTTTTTTTTTTCATTTTTATAAATTTCCTTTTACCCTTTTGTGCCCAGAGGTCATTAAAGCTCTGTGTCTAGGGGCATCAGTATGATCAGTTAATATGACTATAAAGATGGCCATACACTGTGTGAAAGGAAAGAAAGAGACGTATCTCAAAAGTAAAAATTCCCTTGTGATCCTAACAGTTTCTGAAGATACTAGGTTTACTAGTCTAATAGAGACAACAAGCAAACAGGCTAGTATACTAACAATAGCAAACTAGTTGCATACACATTTGTACCCAATTTAACCATACACAATACAATCTCAGGAATAAAATAGAGAAAGATATGAAAAACTATCAGAAGAATTCGTCCTGCACACTGTTAATTAGAATTGTAAACAAAAAAAACACTAATAATAAATGTAACCGCTATGATTTTGGAGTGAAGAAAGTTAATTCTTCATATATAATCAATATCTCACCAATCCTTCAAAAGAAAAATTTTCAGAGTCTTATTGGATGAGATGATGGCTCGTTTTAGGCAGCAAGGGTTAAGTCTTCGCGATGGTCAATGAGTGACAGTCCTTATGTTACATCCAGGAAGTTTTCTACAGAGCTCTCTTTCTCCGTTTTTTTCTTTTTCTTTCTTTCCATGGTATTTTATATGGTTGGGAAGCATTGTTCGTATTGGCGACTCCCCAACCACTATTTACTTTCTTCCAATTAATCGATTCAGACATGGTAGTTGATTTGGTTATTTCACTCATATCGTCTGCATTCAGTTGAATAAATCTCGGATGTGTTTGATAACTTACTCAACCTCAGACAATGATCATAGGTAATCTCATTCTTGGAACAATCGGGTGGATTAACTGTCTTGGAGTTTGTAAGGGTTTTTTTGTTAATTTTTCATTTGTAGTCGTGATATCCTTAGCCTTTGTATTTCTTGATTAAACACTTGTAATTATTGACCTTGAAGTTAAGTTTCTTTCAGTATTGTCAATTGTGGTTTTATGATTATCTAAGCCTTAGACTTAATTTGCAATGTTTTACCTCTTTGAATCAGTTTGGTTGTACAAAAGCTGGTTCCTAAAGGGTCTCTTCTGTATTGTTTGTTAATTACTTAATTTGTACACAATAGGCTATTTTGGTTGATTAACTTATCTGTCCAGCACAGACTTCTGGCCCCTTGTATTACGTTGCACAGGAAAGTTTGATTTAGTTTCTGTACAAGTCATAGTTCATCAGTTTTTGTAATTTTATATAGAAATACCCTGACAATTATTATATTGATTTATATTCTATATGATTTTTTTTTTTTTTTGCGTGACCTATCCTTCAGCCTTTATGTGATCACAATGAGTAAACACATGATCAGGAACCACTCAGACTGGACTAAAGCTGTCTGTGTCAGTCTATTTTAGACATTGATTAATGTTCTTTAGTATAGTGCACCATGCAGGGGAATGTTAACCACATCAGCCCTTGCACCTGTGTACCCCTTTATGGACCAGAACCTTTTTTTTTTGATGCAACACTAAAGAAAATGAACAAAACAAATATGGAAAATGAAGTATTAATGGTTGAAAATATAAAAAAAAAATCAGTAGAAAAATAATAGCTAAGGGGAAAAGAGGTGGAGCGCTATTTAGTGTCAACCAAGGATAAAAAAGGGGTTAAATAGGAACACGTTTTATTTTAAGAAAACATAAAAATACATTTGGGGGTGTATGTAGCAAACTTAGGGTCTACAGCCTATTATTTACAGATCGTGGGTGGTAAGCAGTTAAAGATGTGGTTTAAATTTAAAAAGTCACAAAGACTTAAGAGCATGATTGTAACTCATTGACTTACTATGCTCTTGGACTATTTACTTTCCCACCTTACCACTAGGCCTAACCTGCAGAGACATGGTACTTAAATCTTTCAAGCAATTAAGGAGTTATCACTAGTATAACTTTATGCAAAGAAACTCATTTCAAGTTTTTCAATGAAAAGTTATCAAGTAATTATTTGCATTTATCAATCAAATGTAATGATATGCAAGCCGTATTACAGTAGTTTTTTTTTTCCCCCCACAGATTGTTACAAGAATAACTCATGTGAACCTAATGAAATCCCTGAAATAAGTAGTATTACCCTTTTCCTTGAGTCAACTTATGAAGTGTCTCCATGTAGCAGCACCAAAATCTCTCCTTTCATATCTGCCCCCAAAGATGGAACCACTGGAAAAGGTGCCAATGATGCCGTATTAGCAAGTCAAATAGAACTGCCAAGCGTTGGTTCAAAGAATAGATCTGGAAAATATGAACACAAATTTGCTGGTTTAGAAAGTTCGGAGATGCAGCTGAATGACAAAATGACCAATAATATAAGTGATTTAAGGGCATGTAATTCAGAATCTGAAAATGTTATTTTGACTTTACAAAATTGGCATTGCAGCAAAGACTATTCTAGTCACTTGTATCCAGATACTGCTATTAGAAACTATTCTGCAAAAATTGAGTCCGACAAAGCACATGTAGATCTAAACTGTGGAGAAAGTAATAACTCCAGAAACCAAGCAAAAGAAATAATTTCAAGTTTAAATTCCATCTCTCAGGCTAATTTGGCATCTAATAGAATTGGGAACACCCATGCTAATTCATTTTTGAACAATTCAAGCAAATTAACAGAATCACAGTTTATGTTGGAAAGATGTGAAGGGTTAGATGTGACGTCCCCAGATCATGTTTACACTTACAGCAGGGGTCATAGTGACAATGACATGGAAGAGACTTTGGTCCTACCAAGAACTGATGATATGATTGAAGGTGAAGGCTTAGTAGGCCAGGAAATTAACTCGAGCAGCGAATATACAAGTTGTTTTAGCTATGGTTTTACAAGTTTTACGGAGAACTCTGCCGGTAGTGAAAAGGCAGGCTTAGTTTTTGATGTCAATTGCAAGTCATTGCTAGATTCAAATAGCAATCAAGTGTGCAGTCCAAATAGTGGAAATGTAGATACAAGAACAGATTCAAATGTATGTAGTGTGTTGAATGTAGTGGATTCAGTGCCAGAAGCTATTAACACTTTACAAAAAAGGGAACAAGACATGGATAATGAAGAATTAACCAGCATTAATGCCCAGAGGGTAAATTGCAAACCCCATGTTTTATCAAGTCGAAAAATGTTGTCAGATGGTCATAAAAGCAAAACATCCATAACTACAGAGAAACTGTGCACTTCCCAATCTCCCACTTTACCTGCAGGTAACACTAATGCTCATGAAAGTTGCAATCCAGATTTAGGAACTCGGTTAAGAAACTTAATGCTTTCATCGAAGAGCTCTGGATTAGCCTTGGGAAAGCAGGGTAGCCACTCTTTGCCTGGTTGTTCAGGGCCCAGAGGTGAGTCCTCTTGTTCTAGCACTGCTTCTATTAGTAGTGAAATAAATCCACCAATTGGCCAGAACTTTAAAGACTTAAGATCAACATGCTTAAATACATCTGCAGGCACACTGATTGTAGAATCAGCTGGTTGTGATATTAATGGAGAATTAGATGCTGAGCTGTGTGTTTTAAAGAAAATGATGTTGGCAACTAAGGTTATTCATCCTGTATCTTCCATCCTGAGTGAGGGAAAGAGTCCATGCTTCTTTACCGAACGCACAAGAAGCAGACTTCTGTCTTCCAAATCTCGTCACAGCAATTCATCCCTTTTTGATGAGTCTTTGGAAATGCCTCAAAGAGGTAGGAGACTGAGGAGCCCAGATGGCAAGTCAAGGTCTCCAGTGCCATTGGCTATGGACAGAAGGAACTTTAGCCAAAACAACTTGGTGTGTCAGAGTGATGCCACTTTAGAGACTTGTGTAGCGCAGAATAATATCTGCTTAGTTCAAAGACCTAAGGATGCCAAGGAAAATGTTTCTGAGCCTGAAACAACTGTCAGGATCAGCAATTTCCTTACGGATGACTTATCTTCTGAAGCAGAGGTCAAATCTAGTGTGCAGTTACAAAAAACCTCTGGAGACCCATATATTGAAAGCAGGGTATCTGAAAGTGTGTGGCTTACAGAAGATGGAGACACTGAAAGCAGTGGAGAAGCTTACCATAAATATGAAGCATTGGACTCTAACAAACTAGGGGAAGCTTTGTCTGCAGCTTCGCGGACTGGTTCATTTCTTCACAGTACAATAATTGAAGACACAGCTGGAAATTCTACTAAGGTTCCACGTTACAGCTTCAGTAGACTTTCTTGTGTACCGAAAGCTGATGAAACTCAGATAAAGCTGACTACCATACCTGACCCTGTTATAGAGGAAGTGCATTTATCACCAGGTGGTCGTCCAGTGAATGCAACTCATATTGAACCAGTAGAGTATCTGTATATGGACAATGAAAAGGGGCATGCCCTTATTGAAAGACATACACCATGTACTAATCTGTCTTCTAGCAACATCTCAGACACTTCAGATGATACCATTATATATGACTGGAGAAACTATAGCAGCTGCAAAGAAAAAATAAACAAGGACTCGCCAGCATGCACTCCTAGTCGGGTAGCAGTGGAACTCTACAGACTGTCCAACGATGAAATAGCCAGACGTCTAAGAGGACTAGGGGAGGAGCCTGGACCAGTTAACAGCAAGACCAGAAAGGTCCGCATCTTGCTATTAGACAAATGTTTAAAGGAACAATCCGCAAGTGGCCCAGGAGGTGAGGCTACATTTTAATTTATTTGTCACTTCTTTACCATTCACTTATGAGATAATTTTATTGTTAACATTTTTTTCACATTGTGTTGCATTGTATCCACGTAGAAGTTTATGCTCAGATTTATCAACACAAATGAGGTTTAGACACTTTGTTATCACTTGATTTATACATAGTTGTTTTTGATATTTTTTCATTGGGACATTATTCACTTATAATGTATATACACATATATACACCTTGAGGAGGTAACTAGTCCCCCAGTTCAGTGGATATATATATATATATATACCTTCAGAACAAGGCAATATATTAATTTTATATTTTACACCTACTTTCTTACGGAATCCACCTTTAGCGCTGTGTTATCACTTGCACATTACATTTTAATTTCGTAACCATTTAGACATTTAGTGGTCACATGTATTCAGATCGTGGGGGGGGGTGTTTAGATACCCTTTTAATTAAGGCCCCTAAAAGTTGCTGATTTTTCCAGCACAGATGACTGCACTAATAAACAGTGCAAGTCAGGTCTGTTCCTACTTTTTAAATAATAACTTTATTAGTAGGGATATTTATATTTCGGTACTCGCCGATACCGGTACTGCTAGCATGGAGCCGGCTTCCCGGGCATTCAGGAAGCCAGGCAGTGTGTCATTAGCCTCCGCCCGGCTTCTTGTTTTTCCCAGGAAGCCGGCTCCATGATGTTTGGCCGGCTTGATGCTGATTGGCTGGGAAACTAAAACTGCATGGAGCGGGCTTCCTGGCCAATCAGGAAGCCAGACAGTGGGTAATGACCCACCTTCTGGCTTTCTGATTGACTGGGAAGCTGGTTCGTTGCCGATTGGGCAGGAAGCAGTCTTCCCAGACAATCAGCATTGAGCGGGTCAAAGAGCATGGAATGGTTCCCGGGCCAATCGGGAAGCCGGGTGGCGAGTCATTACCCGCCGCCTGGCTTCCAGATTGGCCGGGAAACCGGCTCCATGTTCCTTTGCGACACTGCCGGTCAGAGGAAATCTCCCTCCCTAAGTTCTGGTATCTGGGTAGGTATCGGAGCATTTGGGCGAGTAAGAGTACTAGTATCAGTATCGATGCATCGCTACTAATTATGTGATTTAATTAGTAGGGATTTTTGATTAATGCTAGAGGGTAAAGGTTTTTAAAAAAAAAAAAAAAATTCAGCTTATTATAATTTTAGCATTTTCTTTCTGCATTATTACACTCAAAATATTATTCTGTATTAGGTCTGTCCTTTGATTATAGCCCAGAGCTGTCTTTAGCCCTGCGCACATATGACATCCCAGACTGTAACAATGATGAGGCTACTCTTTCTCGAGAGTTTGACCAACCAGACAAGACAAGAAAGTGGAGAGAAGGTGTCCTTAAATCTAGCTTTAACTACTTGCTGCTGGATCCCAGGTAAAGATTAGTAGTTCTTCAGTTTTGTTGAAACTATTCAAGTTATGCCTAGATTAACATTGATGACTAAAGATAGGCTATTATGCAGGGAACAGCACAATGCAGATTTAGCAAAAGAACACAGTTTTTTTTTTTTTGCATTGTTCTGTATACTTATGTGTTGTGCTGTCACTTGTTCAAATGCATTGACCGCCTAATGTACCACTGAATTTTAATGAAGCTTGCAAACATATTTTTAATGGTAGCATTAGGTGGGATGATGCATCTGTTAAAGATATGTCTGTTGTGTACAGAGCCCTTTAGTCCCTGTTCACACATTTGTATTGCATGGACGTCCAACACGCGTACGGTGCCGTTACTTGTTAATGGGACCCAAAACATGGCAGGTAAAATGTATGTTTTGCCTGCATGTGGACAAGTGTCAAATGCGCACAAGCATGGGAAAAACAAAACCTGGGATGCTCACAGCTGAAAATGCTTCAGCAGCTACTTTGCCGCACATGCAGCAGCCCATTGATTAAATGGGCTGATGCGTGGCAAAAAATGTGCATGCGACGCGTGTTCCCAGGAGTATAAGTAGAAGGTGATTTTAGCTTGCCTCCTTTTACCTCGAATTGGAACAATTGTTTAGATCGGTTGAAACTTACAAGTTAAAAATTTCCTTATAGTTTAATCTGTTGATAAAGTAGAGAAAGGTTTAAACTAGGGATGTCCCTATACCGATGCTAGCATCAGTATCGGGACCGATGCAAGGCATTTTCACAAGTACATAAAGCCGATGCTTGCGTATCGCCTGACGCCCGGGAAATGTAGTTCCGGGCAAGTGAAAGCAGGGGCCGTGGAGCGGTGACGGCGCTGGGGGGGCGTGGAGCGCTGAGAGCCGGGGGCACTTTGAGCTGCGACAGAGCAGCAGGGGGCGTGGAGCAATGACAGAGCAGAACACGTGGAGCTGTGACAGACTCTGTCACCTCCCTCAGCCTGTGTTCCTGGCCGCTGCTCGTTCTTGTCACAGGAGCTCTAGCACAGTGCTGAGCTAGAACTCCTGTGTTGGAGGTGACTGGGTCAATAACGAGTACCTGTCTCCTCCAAATGCTATTGCACAGTGGTTTGTTATCCCCTGTGAGATAGCAATAAAGTTAAGTGAAAAAAAAATTGTTAAAAAATAACTAAATAAACATTAAAAAAGGCAAAGTAAAAATAATATAAATGGAATTTACTAAGTAAATAAAAATGGAAAAAAAATGAAAACCAGCCCCGCTGCCCCATCACCTGCATGCGAATAAACGCGCAGTGTTTTCAACCACGATTGTGTGGAACTGCACGGGCAGGGCAGTATTGCGGCGGGAAACCACGCAATCAGCCTGGCACGACTGGGGTGCCATTAGAAAATAATGGCAGTGGTAGCGCGATCGGCGGTGGAGTGCAATCCGTGACCGCCCGGTCATCGTGCATGAAACCGAGCGGATCGCTGGGCGGTCACGGAATCGCACACCACCACCGATCGCGTTGGCAGTGCCATTATTTTCTAATTGCACTCAATTCGCGCCAATCAGATTGCAGGTTTCCTGCCGCAATACTGCCTGGACGGTCCCACACGATCGCGGTTGAAAACATGAATAGGTTAAATGTTTTATTGTTCTAAAACGGTCTTAACCCCTTCGTGACGGGAGACGTACACTGTACGTCCCGCCACAAGGGACCAAATGACTCGTCACGTAAACGAGTTATTTTCTGCATTAGAGGGCTGGTAACCGCTGAGAATCAGCGGTTACCATTCATTAATGTATCCCTCAGTATAGAGGCATCCATTAATGAAAGGGTTAATATCGGGTGTCTGAGAGTCAAAGCAGAGCGGTCAAACATGCTGGCAAAAGCCGGCATTCTGACAGCTCGTATAGATCTAGAGATATCTCTCTCAATCGGTTTTTTTTTTTTTTTCTTTCACTTTTAGCAATAGATACTTAATGTATCTATTCCTGAAAGAAGAATGTTTCAGTTTTCTGATCGTTGTTGCTGAATCCTGAACTGCTGCAGGATCAGTGTCACTAACTTATTATTGGCTGTTCTCAAGTTTGAAGCAGCCTAATAATAACCAAAAAATTATTTATCAAGCAGTAATAGTGAGATTAATTCACAATGACTGCTTGATATAATAAAATAAAAATGTTCACAAGTTTTAAAAAAAATTAGTGAAAAGTGTAAAGAAAAAAAAGTGTAAAAAAATAAAGGACAAATAAATGAATGTATTTATTGCATTTTTTTTTTAGCTGTGCTGGTTTTGTAAAAAATACTACAAATCAAAACTGAAATTTTTTTTTTTTAAACCGTTTTTTTCCTCCCTTTTTTTTGTATATTTTTATTTGTCCTAAGTGAGGCGTTAGGGCTACATATTTATATCACATATGTGTGTCTATCTGTCCTCTAAAAAACTATATATAATATGTGTGGGTGCACTTTGTAAGAAAGTATATTCACACAGCAAAAATGTCAAACGTGTGTCAGTCATTTACGAACAGAAACTAAAAACAAGCTCAGTCATGAAGGGGTTAAAGGAGAACTATGAGGTGAGTGCTTTTCACTCACCTCATAGTTCTAGCCGCCCTGTGACAATGAGACTGTAACAGGTTGGCTCAGTAGATCGGGAGGTGAGCGAACACATAC